ATATATAAAATTTGTATGCCTTGTTCCTGATTGCAGAGCAATTCATGATGTTAAAGCCACAGACCTGGGACTAGGTAAAGTAAGATTTAAAGCAGAAGTAGATTTTGATGGACGAGTTGTTACAAGATCGTATTTGGAGAAACAAGATTTTGACCAGCTGCTACAAGTAAGTTTGTCTGTCATTTTCTTATGTAACTAATGCCAAAAAAACCTTTTTAAATAAATGACATAAAACTTACTTTTATAGGTCGTAAGGTAACTTTGGCCATTCACTTCTTATATTCTAAAATTTGACAGAAGGGCTGGCGAAATAGCGCACCAGACTGAGTGCCTGCTTAGGTAAGTGCAGGGACTGGGGTTCCATCCCCAGCATCACATGGCACTCTGGCCCTGCCTTCGGGCTCACTCAGCTGGCCACCAAGTCTGGGCGTGGTGGTGCACACCCATAATCCCAGTGCTGGGGAGGCTGAAAACAAAGAGGATCACTACAAGTCTATGATGTGAGTGAGACTCTGTACCAAACACATAAAAATAAATAAAATAAAATTTGACAAATCTTTTTCTGTAGAGTGGGTTGGAGCAGATAGCAGAAGAGCAAACTTAATAAGTTGTTAGGGCTTATAATTTGCCAGGCCTTTTATTTATTTTATCTGATTTACTCTCAACAACCTAGTGAGGTAAAATAACATTTTCATTTTAATATATAGGCAAATTAAGTCACAGAGAGATTATGTAATTTAACCAAAATTTTGCTTATTCATCTGTAAATTTAGATTCCTCTGATGTCAGAACCTATGATGGCAGTTCCAGCACTGGTCAGGGTGGCACACATGTATATAATACAGATATTCCTCATTTAACAATGTGTTTGGTCTTGGGACTGAGAGGCACTGTTTGAACTTAATGACCTATTTTTTTTTTATACAGTTCTGTACATCTTATGTATAGATAGTCTCAATACCTTTTTGGTACAGTATATGTCACACAGTACTGTAATTTTTCTCATTGTATTATACAGCACAATATTTGTAGTTTATGCAAATAACTTTTGACCATTTCATTGTTTTGAATATTATATATATTATATACAGTTCCTCATTTAGTTTCAGTCAACACATTAGTTGTAGGTCAAGAGCTCTCTCATTGAAGGAGGAGTATCTGTATCAGCCCTGTAGATGCTTGTAAGTTCATACCCGAACTGAGTTAACTTGGTGACTTGAGAAGATCTGGTCTCAAAATTAAAAAAACAAAGATTCAGATGTAACTCATTTAGTTTCCAGTACCACAAAAGGAAACAGAAATTCAAAAAGGAAATGGCAATTGCCTTCATTTCATTCTCTCCGTGGTTTTACTCTCCATGGTTTTAATGAATCAGCCTTAGCCCAAAATTAATAAATGGAAAATTCCAGAAATAGTTAATAGGCTTTAAATTACAATTCTGAATCATCAGATGAAATCTTGTGCTGTTTACCCCAGGACACACGTTATGCCTCTGTCCTGCATATACTGTACATGTTGCATATGCAGCCCACCTTGCCATGTGGTGACTGACAGAGACCACACTCGCAGAACTTTTATTACAGTTCATAACTATAATTATTTTATTATTGCTAATTTTTTACTGGGCCTAATTTATAAATGAAACTATCATAGGCATAGGAAAAAACAGGATATTTCAGGTTTTTTTACTGTCTGGCTTTAGGTACCCACTGGGATCTTGTAACATATCTCTGTAAAGAAAAGGAGACTGCTTTAATTTGAAAGAATTTACAGAAGATAACATAATGAACAGCACAGATATGGCCACTTGCCTTTGTCAGATCTCAACATTATATTGGCATTATCAATTGGATATCCTTTATATGAAATGCTTGGGGGCCAGCTTCATGCTCTCTGCTGCACATGAGCAAATGTTTTTTCAGGGTAGTATATAGATAACTAGATTAAAAACTAGTAAAGGCCATTGAGAATACATTTGTATCTATAGCTTCCATAGACACTATCAAATTATTCACCAAAGTGTTAATTCAACTTCTGCTATCAGTATATCAAAGTTTTGTAGCTTCACATTCTTACTAGATTATACTCAGTTTTGAAATTTTTCCCAGTATTATAGGTACAAAATAGTATCTTCTAATTTTGAAGTAGTGAGGTTAAATAAAATAGAAATTCATTGACCATTGGGCTTTCCTTTATATCTTATTTTATTTTTAATTAATTTGTATTAGACTAACATGTTTTGATAAATATTTTATTTTCAATATGCTAAGTACTAAGACTTTTAGTTTTATAGATACAATGTCTTTCTTCAGTTTGTTATACAGGAAATATGGTTTTTAATCTTAATGTAAAAATTGTATGCTTCCTTTTTATCCTGAGAAAAAAATCCTTGCTTAACCCATTATCACAAATACTCCTTTTTTCTTCTGTAAGTTTTATTATTACTTTTAACCTTCAAGCCTTTAATCTAATGGAGAGTATTTACTTAATGGATTGAGACAGAAATTTAGTATTTTTCATTATAAAAAATAATTATTCCAGTACTACTTTATAAATATTTTGCCACTGATTTTGTAGTTTTACCTCTGTGTAGTATTACTGAATTTTCTTCAATTTTTTTGGGAAATAGGTGGTCCCTTTCCATCATTAAACTTCATGGTGTTCGTTATAAATTTTTAAAGGAATTAACAATGTACCACTGTGAATTTTGAAAAATTTAGTTTTCTGCTTTTCTTCTTTATAGGAAATTCAAGAAGTAAAAACTCCTGAAGAACTAGAGACATTTATGCTTAAACATGGAGAAAATATTATTGACACTTTAGGAGCTGAAGTAGATAGACTTGAGAAGGAACTGAAAGTAAGATACATTCATAAAAATAATGCAATGATAGTGACAACCGTTTTTGATACTGTGCTAAGTAAGTGTATCCTGTGCATACTCTTTAACGTTCTCAGTAACTCTGTAACAGGTAAATGCATACAGGACAGAATACAGTAAAGTTCTCAATGTGGACCATCAGAGGTACTCTCCTCATGGAGCTATGGATAGCATTACTCTCCTGACACTGAAGTGTGTCAGTGTCTTGAATCTCATTAACCAAAAAAAAACCCATCTGAGATTTGATGTCCCAAGATGTCACGAGGGCGGTGTGGCTGACTTTAGAAGGCTGTCTTTTGTTTCCAGCCCCTTCTGAGGTAGCACAGGTACTGTGTGATCTGAAGTCCCAGCGTAAGTCTCATTGTTAGCCCTCATAGTAGTCAACACCATTGGATAAGTGAAGGTGTTCTTAGGATATTTTCAGGAGCCTAGAAACCACACTCTAGGAATGGAGGGCAAAGCCTAGACCATGTTTGGGGTAAGATTGATTCTTTGTCATATTGTTACATTGAAATCCATTAGTCTACTCTTCTACAGTGACTGAGTCTTTTACCTGTGCATGATTCTGTAACATTTTAAGCTGATATTTTGAAAAATATTGATTTACTTAGTTATGCACATCTTTCAAGTAGTGTTCTGATAAAGTAATTTATTCATTTCACAATAAAGCAATCAGAGGTACTTTTTTTGTACCATCATATGTCAGTATGAAGCAGAGGTGTTTTACACCTATATTCCATTTGTCATGGTATATTACAAAATGTACTCAGGAGTTGAGGTTTAACAAAATTGATACATCTTACTACTACATAAAGGACATTTTAAAGTAAAAATGGTTTTTAACAGTTGAGTATGTGTCAATAAAGGAACACAGTGACTATTAATACAGTTTGGTTCCATTTGCTAAATCGTGCAGAGCTGCCAGCATGGCTTTTAGGCCATCATAGGAAATGTCCTAGTGACAAAAACAAATAACATCTTAGTTATTCACTATTTACTGTGAAAATAGCTGTGACTTTAGAGTTTCCTTTTAAAAGTTTCAGGATGCCCACAGTCTTGGACCTTGAGAACACTGTTATATAGAATATGAAATCATTATTTTTGAGTAAGGTAACACAAGAGTTCACTTTATTCTGATTTTAATTCTCCAGCAATGAAAATGAACTAACTCTGTCTACTTTAATAGAAACAGAAAATCAGAAGTCACACTTAAGAATAATTGGCTATTCTCAACTAACTGAATTTCTTCTTATGATCAGAGTTTGTTGTTTTTTTATTTAATTAACTTTGTAGTTTAGATACTGTTAAATCATTGTGTTTTTGAATTATAAACATTTTCAAAGCAGGAAGCTAAGTTTAACCCACATAGGCAGATACAAACATCTGTAGCTAAGGCAATTAAGCATGATTAATCTTTTTTTTTTTTTTTTTTGTGGAACTGGGGATTTTTTTTTTTGTTTTTTTGTTTTAATAACAAATAATTTTACTTCAATTATGACACCTTAGTCAGTCTTCACACTTAAAAGCAGCATGTTGGGGCCAGTGAGATAGCTCAGCGGTCTAGAGTGCTTGCTTAGGTAAGCTTAGGCAAGTACACAGGGACCACGGCTCCATCCCCAGCACCACATGCCCCGCCAGCCCTGCCCCCAGGGTGGGCTGAGCCAGCCACAAAAACAAAAAAATCCCTCCCCTCCCCCCAGCATGTTCCATACACAAGTGTCACTTACAGTGATAGCACATATAGTTTGTTTTCCTATCTTTTTTTTGCAGGGCATATTTGACATGTCACTGGTCTTGCTATTTTTTTTAGGAAGTCCTTGAGATGTTTTACCTGTCTGTTTGCTGGTCTGCTTCAGGATTCCTTTGTGGAGTCCCTCGGGCAGATACGTCGTCTTCTTCCTCTGTTATACTTGATCTTTTATCTATTCTCTTCCTAGTTTGTCCATTACAAAACATTTCTAATATTGAGTTGCAGTGCTGGCATTCTCCAGTAGGTTTCACTCCTGGCAAGAACCTAAGAACATTTTCCTGCTTACTTCTAATACGACCATTTTGTAGCATTTTGACTTTTAGAGTATTTATTTCCATTACTGTTTTCCTTCTCATCTGAATCAAGATCTTCATCCTCCACTTCTCTGTCATTTCTTTCTCTGCCTCACAGTCATAATTTCTTTGGCTTCTAGGAACCATGTCATAAAAATAATCTGTAATGCAGTTTGCATCTTGTCCCACGTAGTAATAATCTACTAAAAAGTTCACCATGGGCCCTCAGACCTTCCTTCAAAATCTTGTTACAAAGCAGGGGCAAAGGTGCACATGCCTAGAATCTCAGCTATTTGGGAGGCTGAGGCAAGAGATTTGCAAGTTCAAGGACAGCCTAGGCAACTCAGTGAGATTCTATCTCATAATAAAAAAAGGTTGGGGATGTAGCTCAGGGGTAGGGGAAGAGAAGAGGTATCTACCGGAAAAAAGATTTTCAAGGCTGTAGTTTATTTTCTCTAACGTATTCCCCCTTTATTCTCATTGCTCTTGACAGGAGCATGCTTGGGGGAGACACCGTGTACTATTCTAGGAGGAAGACAGTCTGTAGGGAGAGTTAGACCCAGCTAGAACACTTAATTTTTATATAGCCACAGGCAAGTCATATGCTCTGCCTGAGGCCCAGTTTTCCCATCTATAGAACGGGAATGATACTCAACTCTCACAGTAGTGCTGTTCCCTTCAGTAATTAGTCATGGTAGTGGTTATAGTAACTGGGTGCTCAGCCCTGGCTCTTAGCCAGATTCTCTTCTGTGGAGTAACCTTGAACCATATCTACAAAAGGAGCAGAGAAACCTAAAAACATGGAGGTGGAATCATACAGTGTGCCTTCCTTTTTCATGAGGTTTCTTTCCATAATTTTATTGAGAAACAAATAGAGACAGTTTCAAATCAAATTGGTAGGACAGTTTCAATAATTAACACATTGCATACATTCTTCCTAGTAGTTAATTGCTGTACAAGATGC